TCGAGAGCAACGCCACTCTTCCTGCAGACTGGAAACACCACGAGCCTCGCAAAGACTCAGGTCCGTCGGCAATGGGTGACTCACATCTAGGATCAGTCACTTTATCCATTTAGTGGAGACACATAATGCAGATTGACCTGGAGCGGTAGAGTAAAAGGAAATGAGGGGATTAACATTTACAAGATAATAAACGTAAGGAATTGATTTCCTGACCTCCTGACCACCGCTAAACATAATCTGTAAAATGTTCAATTTACTGCTAATATAATCTTCTGCTAACCACCTACAAGTATTTCCCTATTCTGAGTGTCAGAGGAGAGCTTAGTGATTAATAGAACCTTAACTTTTATCAGCGAGACAGAATAATCTTTTAATGTGAAACACTACATTTGTTTTGTTAAAATGAACATAATCGTTCTTAAAGAGATGGAACACCAGCAGAATACAACATACACATATCCTATATGATGCAAAAAGCTTCCCCTGATGTAACAAATCCAGTGTAAATTCAGGGCAGAAACATGAAGAAACAGCTAAGGAGAAAGCTTAGTACGTTCTCTTTTTATCCATCAAACTTTATCGACCAATACATTTCCTTCGGGCAGAAAATTAATGAAATCAACAATGCTTTGATATAAGGCTATAAAATCAATAAGTTTATAAGAAGTGGTAATTGCATTGGCAGCATTCACACACCTGGGATTGATTTTGTACGTTTCCAAGGCAGATAATCTGCTTTTGATTAGTTTGCCATAAATGAGGAGTGAGGATGCCAGCTTTCTCTTTTATTGTTTACAGGAGCTTTTGGAATCGATCGGAGCTACAGCTACAGTGCCAGCCTCGGGAAATATTACAACAAAGGTAGTTTATCACCCCATGTCACCCTTTTTCCTGTTCAGTTACCGTAGAGAAATAGGCATACCAACACTGCTACAGAAAAAGGATGAATCAAAACGATGAGAGCATTAATGCAGAGATGACATGGGTATTTCTGTTCTATGGTAAAGTGTCATGATTTGAGTTTTCTGTGTTTAGTCATGGTTTTATTTTGAAATTCTGTTCTCCCTGTGTCTGGACTTCCTTCCTGTGTTTGCCCTCCTGTGTCTGATTGTCTCATTGTGTTCACCTGTTGCCCCCCCCCCCATTCCCCTCCCCCCCCCCCCTTCCCCTCCCCTCCTTCCCCCCTTTCCCCTCCCCTCCTTCCCCCCCTTCCCCTCCCCTCCCCCTCCTTCCCCTCCCCTCCCCTCTGCACTCAGACCTGCTCCTGTCCCCTCCCCTCCTTCCCGTCCCCTCCTTCCTCTCCCCTCCCCAGCTGTGTCTTGTCCTGTGATTACCCTTCTGAGTATTTAGTCTTGTCTTCCCCTTTGCTCCATGTTTGGTCGTTGTCTTCCTTGCTCCTCCATGTTTGTCCCTGTCGTTTTTTTGTCTGGATGCTTCCTCGTGCTACTGGTTTATGTATTTTCTTGTTTTTTCATTGACATTGGCTTTTGTTAAATAAAGCTCTCTCTTTGCACCCCTTCTCCTCATTCTGCGTTTGGGTCCTGATAACCCCCACCCTTCACATAAAGTGTACACAGACTTTACAATGACCTTGATTGCTGCTGTTTCTGACTCTGTGTGCACTTCAGATGTGTTTTAACTTCCCTCTCTTTATGTATCTTGTGTGGTGACAGAGCTGAAAGACGTGGTGGCGGCGAGCAGCAGTTCTCTGAACAGCGAGAATCCTTACGCCACCATCAAAGACCTGCCTGGTCTGCCCTTCTGCCCCCCCGAGAGCAGCTACATGGAGATGCAGTGCACCGTTCCCAGAGAGCGAGCGTACACCGAGATCCGCCCGCCGTTCAACACCGCCACCTTACGCAGAGGTGAGCGTCACTCTGGACTCCTTCAGCATGCAGAGATAGTTTAACTCCTTTACAAAACAGCCGATAATGCTGGTGTCCTTTTTTCTTTCTTTTTTTGGAACAGTGTGACTTGTGAGTCATCTTCAGTATTACAAGAAGAAGATTAGGTTGTTAGGAGGTCAGTTTTCACATTGCATTACAATTTGTCTTGTGAGCCAATCAGGACGGTACAAAAGTGGGACCTTCACTTTTTACACCAATAAAGGATATTCAGTATAAAGGGGAATAATTTAACTGAGATGACAAGAAGTAGAAAAAGATAGAAGTACGCTTTATCGAAATCACAAGAGATTTGAAACTGAAACTATAATTGTATCACTCTGTACAACTAACAATTCTTTTACGATTATTCTGCTCATTCTTTTCTCCGTGAATCATTGGGTTCTTCAAAACTTCCCTCCAAAACCAGAAACAAATCTATTTACTATTCAAGAAGATTTTAAAAAGCATGCAAATCTTAACACTTTTGAAGCTGGATTAAGAGAATGTTTGGCATTTTACCTGATCAATAGTGGCATTTTGAGAGAATCAACCCTGATACTTAAAATAATGATCACATCTCAAGAAAAATACTAATATATTTTCTTTCAGAGTTAGGATCTTTCAAATGTCAGAACAGGATTTGTGCTCTGACAGATGGGGAGGACGGGCTTCCTGAAGCCAGAGTCTGATAAATGAACAACTGTTTACTGGGAAGAGGAAGAGCAGCAGGGAAGGGGTTCTTTTTTAGCATCAGTAATTCATCAAGACGAAGTCAGACTAATAAATGATGTCGGGTCACGTTGTATCGCAGGATAGGAAATGCCAAATTGATGGAAATATTGGCTCAATGTTACTGATTTTTTTCCTCTAGTGAAGTAGAATATCATAATTTTGGATCCTCTGTCGTCTGGGACATTTGGGTGGAAAAGTGAGAGAAAATAACACTTCCCTCCATCAATACCTGTTTTTACACTCGCTCTACTGAAAGCAGAAGAGAGAAATTATTCATGATAGAAAAACATACACATTTAAGGAAATGGGTTACGCACCCATTTTTACCTTGAATTCTTGAAGAATACTTTTTTTTCACATGCCTGCAAAGAAAGTGAAGAAAGTGAAAAAATCAGTGAGTGCAACCTGGTTTAAATTAGATTCTATACTATATATTTCATCATTTCAGACCTTCAAGTTAACGTTTTCCCTAAGACTAAACCAAGAAATCTTAAATATGATTAGCAGATGTGGCATTAAAAAAATATATATACAATGGAAGTGGAGGAGTGATATTTTTCCTTATATGAAGTATTGTTTTTTTATCCAAAGCAACTTACATACACAATACTGTAGTCATGGCTACGGGAGGTAATTGGGATATTTTGCTCAAGGACACTTCGTCTGCAGGGCGTGGGATCAAACTGCTGACCCCTGATTAGCAGAGCCCTAATGTTGCAGTTTTTCCTTATCTGAAGCAAGGCTATAAAGAAAGCACAGATAAGGTGTCGCATGCTGTTGTTGTATATTATAATTTGTGATATGAATAAAATAGATTTGACTAAAAGGACAAAACACCTTTTTTTTTGTACCCCTCAGAGCGCCAGAGTTCCCTCGGTCACGCTCCACACGAGGACCCCCAGAGCCACTACGACCTCCCGGTGAACAGCCACATCCCGGGACACTACGACCTGCCGCCTGTCCGCCGCCCCCCCTCCCCCAGGAGATCCCCTCAGTGAAGGTCCCAGCATCAGAGGCAGTTTCCCCCCTCTCACTTTGGGAAGGATTTCAGGTGTGTGCTCGCAAAGAAGGAGCGAACTTTTACGCTTCTGTCAGTCAGAGCTGCAGACCACCCACAGAGCAGCGCCTATAGGCGGAGGAACTGTTGTTGAGTGTGGACGCCCCCCTGTTAGCTCCACACTGCCCCCCTGTGGACTGAAGGGGTACTTGCTTCACCGTGACAGACTTGTCATCCAGACAGTGGAGCCAGCGGGCTGCGGTGAGGGGGGGGCGGTCTGTGGGACTGCATTTACCTCCCATGGGAAAAATACACCAGAAGATTTCATGGTGAAATGCAGCATGGGAAGTTCTTTGCTTTTGAACTCATGTAAACATGCTGTAATTGATGTTCCCCACACATTTAGCTTGCTACTGATCAGCTGGTGTGCATGATCAAAAGGCCCCCATTCAAGTTTTCTTTTAAAGTCTTAATTTTTTTGAGGTTATATATAGAATTCTTTTATTTACACAAGAAGCTTTGTTTGAATTCATCACACAGCTGGACTTCCTTTTGTTTTGCTCATGGAAAAAATGCGTACTGCTAAATATACTGCCAGTCTCTGGTCTGAGACACATTATTTTAATTTAGTTTTATTTCTCATGTTCAGGTTTTAAGTCGGGTTGTTTAACCAAAGTTTTGTTGCCAAGATGAACATCTTTTTTATGATAATCTCGTCAAACAAAACGTGCTCCTTGTTTGTTTCAACACATGTGGCTCACATATTGCTGCTGCCAGATGAAAACTTTGTAAATATACAATGGAATATATTGTTTGGGTCACACTAATGTAAAAGAACAGTCCTATTCTAGGATGGTTAAAGGCGTTTGTGACCATCGTTCACACACATTTGCTCAGTTATAGATGCCAAAAACTCGCCGTGGGCAGAAACATTGTTTGTTGTGAAAAGGAAACATCAAACAGGAAGTTGCAAGCCAAATCAAAGCAGCATCTTGGATGTCACTGAAGCGCGCTACAGCAATGTTTGTTTTTGCCTGGTATTTAAAGAGCGCGCTCAACCAAAATACTTTCTTTTTTAAAGGAGGTAAACTTTAATTGCTTATGTATTGCGTCTAAATACATCCGATATCCTTTATTTGTGTTTTGTTTTTATCAAATGAAGTTTATTGTTCTGTCAATTGGATAACAGAAACCCTGTTTACCAGAAGAATGTACCTTGTGCTTTTAATGCTATAGTTTCCAGTATAGCTAGAGGCCTTTTTTCTACGTATGAACATATATTTTTGAATGTAACCATGGAAACATGTTTGTGTGTATATAGTGTAAATAAAGATGGCTGCACTTTTCATCATTGGTGTTTATGAAGGAAATAACAAGTCAGTCAGTCACTGGGAAAAACCTCATTTTACTCAGCATTATTTAAAAAAGCAAAACAGAAAACAAAAACAGGATAGTGCTGACAGCATCGTTATGAAATTCTACTTCAAGCAAATTACAACTTTGGCATTAAAGGCTCACAAGAAATCCCTTTCGGTAACATTTCAAGTCCTTCAAAGACTCATGAGGCTTCAATGAGGACTTTCAGAGGGTTCAGGATTTCAAAAAGGCCTTTCAAGACTTTCACACAAAGCACATCTGTGGTTTGAATCTGTTAGTGTCCTGCTTGTTCATTGACTTGAACTAACATTGCGTATACATGTTTAAGAGCAGCTGTCGATGAGAATAAAAATAAAAGGAAAGTTTCTCTGGTCAGACAGGCCTTTGAAAAACCCTGAACCAAACCCTTAAAATGATCTTTCTGAGTGGGATGTTTCACTTAATAGCTGCATATTTTTCACAATAACATAGTAATTATATTCATACCCTATTTACTTGCATATATGATAAATACTATCTCTTAGTTATAAATCTGTCATCTTTGGATCTGTCCACTTCTTTAACGAGTGTTATGGACCTTTTTAAGGCACTTTAGGTCATTGTTACAAAATCAGGCATCTAATTAAGGTAAAAAATGATCTAATGTGGCACAAATACCATCTATTAAGTACAATTCAAAATAAAACGTCCCAAAATCATGCATGGGGATTTGCAAAGCCATTAAGCTTACAGGAAAGGAAAAAAAGCCCTTTGACCAGTTTTTACGAGCAACACAAATCAGACAGCTGACAGTCACAAGACTGATAGAAAGCTCAGAGAACAGTGATTGTAGTTTTCTGTCCGCTAAAAAGGCACATTTGTTGTTTTTATATCTGTAAAAAAGCTTGTTAAAATGTCTCCAAAAATGACTGTTGCACTCTGAAAATAGCAGCAACAGCTTTTTATTAGAATAATGTTCATTTGGTGGAATAAGCTCACCATTATACTGTATATATATGGCACGAGTAAATACTCAAAACACAGTACCTCTTCCTGAACATCTTTGTAAGGCAACATATATCAATGTATATCATACTGAGATACATATTTTACTGGGTACATTCAACTTGTCCAGCAAACAACAATTCCTTACGTTCCACACATGTTGAAAAACATAATCAAATGCACCAGTTTGAGATTCGACTTGCAGGAAAAAAATATTCCTCTCAAAATGATTTCTCCGTGTGCACCATAACAGCCCATCATATTATCTGGATCCACTTACAACAGTTACTTGGACATGTTTGTCTAAGGCTAAATAAAAAACAGAACATCCTGATTTTACAGTACTGCGGCTATCTTTGGAGAGCATTTCAACATGATTATCAAAACAAAAACCAACGTCAATGTATTTTCTATAGCATTTTGAGACAGCAAAACACTGTTTCAAAAAAGACGGACAAGCATATTTCATTGTAAACATCAACATCTCAAATAAAGATTTCACCTGATTTGATGGTCAATAAACATGATTTAAAAAAAACACCACAGGATTAGTTTCCTATGGTCTGTAAGGCTGAGACTTATTCCTGACAGGGTTCACTAGCTGTTCGTGTTGAGAGTTGACAGCATGGCCATTAAATGTGAAACCCCGGCTGGGATCAAAGCGCAAGCACTGGTCAATGGAGCTGTGTGTGTGTGTGTGTGTGTGTGTGTGTGTGTGTGTGTGTGTGTGTGTGTGTGTGTGTGTGTGTGTGTGTGTGTGTGTGTGTGTGTGTGTGTGTGTGTGTGTGTGTGTGTGTGTGTGAGTGTGAGAGAGAGTTTGTGCAAGAACAAGAGCAAGACAAGCATTTAGCGCAGCACACATGCGATGACATAACTTGAAATACAAAATCAAAAGCTGAATATGAAAATCCTTTCCCCCGAAAACCTTAAAGCAATCCTAACCTGCAGATTTATCTGAATACAAAAAATAATATCGTATAAAAAAAATGAAAATAGAGACAAACAACCCAAAGGAAGAAAATATCTTCTCGTCCTTTATTGGCTGCAGGATGTGGGTTCAGGTGAGGTGGGGTCAGGTCAGGTGAGGTTGGGTCTGGCTCTACATGACGGAGCAGTTCTCCGGCTTTGCACGGCCCTGAAGGAGGAAGTGACAGTGTGGTGTTAAATGTGGAGATACAAAGTAGAAGAATATTAACAATAAACTTACAATACAAGACATTTTGTAAGCAACATTTATGAGAAGAGAAAAAAAAAAAGTCAGCTGTTCCATTCAGTTTTTAATGTGATTACTTCTTCCCAGTCAACTACAATGAAATATAATCAACAGAAATGGTCAATGCATTGCCTGCTTGTGTAATTCAGTGGTTAAACAGTAATGTAAGTTAATTAAAGTTAGCAAAAAAAAAGCCCGCTTTGTCTTACATGATTTTCAAATTGAATTGTGATACCTGATCACCCATAAATAATTATATTATTTGGTTATGATTGTCCAAAAATCTAAAGTGCCAAAAGCTGTTCAAGTGGTACACTTTGAATAAATGTATTCCAAATGATTGCTGACCAACCCAATGTACAGTACGGTAGGTTGTCTGAACCAACAACATTGACATATTTGTCTACAGTTTTCAGCAATAAATAAATAACATTATTATTTATTTGTTATATCCAGGAAAACTTCTGGGAAATAATTTGATAATTGTAGGATAAAAGGGTCACACATATTACTTTTTATTATGTAGTTAACTTAATTGGCTGGGTTTATTGGCTTAATTCATACAATTACTTTAACCAGTGATAAAATCATCAAAAGTCTTATATCATGAAATATAGCAGAGTCTGCTTTATGCCAGTAACAGAGTAATGGTACCTTTCTGGGCTCGTTGCTCCCCATGAAGAGGGAGTGTCCCCCGAGGCCTTCAGGCAGACCCCCGCCGCCGCCGCACCCCGGGCGGTCCGCCGTCTGCCCGCAGGAGTCGCAGATCACCGTGCGGCTCCGCAGGTTGTACTCGTTGTCCCCGCTCGTGCTGTGAGCTCCCTGCAGGGGGCGACACACACACCAGTTACTGCACACTGCTCCACTGAGAGGAGCTGCAGGAGTTTACAGTCTTACAGAAGAGATGCTTACCATGTCATCGTCTTCATCCTCATGGAACAGGGTGCGGGTCACCTTCCTCATGGCCATTTCCTGATGGGGAGTAAAGTGATAAAAAGATGAGGAAGTTGCAGGTAAAAATAATAAAAGACAAGCTCAGATCCATTCAGGTGAAGTCGCACCTCTCCGTTGGCACTGATGAGGATGGTCTGCATGAGGTCTCCGGTGCCCCAGGAGCTCTGGGTCTTCCACACCACGTCAGTGGGGGGGTTGTGGGTTCCTCCTCCAGAGGCAGCCCAGATCTATGAAGGTCAAAGGTCAAGAGATTGTGATTGGTTTTCATTACTTCTGTCTCAGTTCAAAGTATTGTGTGTATTCTCAAGGCCTGTTAAATACATTTATTACCAAATCTAACAATTTCTAAACCAATAATGTAAAAAATGTTTAATCAATGTTCAGAATGTTTGCCATCTTCTTCTTTGCATTGTAGATTTTGATACTTTTCTTGATGCATTACTGCCATCTATTGACTAGTAAAAAAAAAGGATCAGGACATTAGCACTAATTTGTACAAACAAAATGGGGACCCACTCATTATAAATATTTCTCAGTAATACTCCTCATGGTCAAAAAGTGTTAAATTAAGCATGGACAAATCAACAAACAGACCAATCTAGAGAATTTGGTGCAACTTACCGTGACAGTTCCTCCGGCCTTCAGAGTGAACTTGCTGGGAAACTTGTAGATGATGGGGGTGGTGGTACCTACGACTCTCTTCACCTGCCAGTTAGCCAGAGATTGGTCCTACGAGAAGGAAATGAGAAGAGTGATGGGGATAAGACAAACCAATAAAGATTTAATTAAAGTTTTGTATACACGGAAATGATACTGTTAAACACAACTGTCATTCAGTTAACACAAAGGTTAACCGTAAATTGGTTTATTATGTTAAAAATAAGTATTACATTGTAATCAGTCTTAAAAAATCTTTTACCACATTTTTTGCTGGCAGTCTGAGTGGCATGCAATCAGATAAAACCAGGTTAAAGGGTTGTAAATCCACCGGATGGACCCACTCACCTCGTCGGCTTTGTTGCTGAGACGGATGAACTTGCCCTCCAGGTCGACTTCGTCCACGGTGACGCGCCCGCTGGCTGAGGCGTTCTGACTGATGCGAGTCTTGGTCACAGAGCCCCCCACCATGCTGGAGGTCTCGCTGTCGTTGTCATTGAGGCGGCGCTTCTTGGAGACGGCTGTTCCGGAGGAGTTACGGCTGCTGGAGGCGGTGCCGGTGCCAACGGCAAGGCCGGAAGACTGGACCACACGACTGATCTGGTTGTGGGCGGAGCCAGAGGACCGTGTCACTGTGACCTTGGCGGTGGGTGTAGTGCCGGGTGAGAGACTCAGCCTGAGGAAAAAGGGAAAGAAGAGGTTCAGATATTTAGACCAATGTACCAGTATACAGAATCACTGTTGGTAAAGAGCCTTTATATACTTCATGTATCTCTTGCTTACTGCTCTGGGTCTCAACACAGATTATATAACTAAGATTCTCCAGTGCTTGGTGGTTGAAGCTCAAAAACCTTTTTTAGGGAAAAAATGACCTTTTGTTACGGCAGCTGTATTGTAGAATAAGCTGTGTCAGAACTGCATTTTCACATTGCTGCTACTTTAAAACCATTCTTAGTAACAGTTCTCTGCCTGCCTGTGATTGCTTTCCCTGAGCCTGTACGTTGTTCACTCAGTTTACTTATCGATTGACAAAAGCGTGGAAGCAAAACTCTGGATGAAACCCGGACCTGATTCTTCAGACACTGTCCAGAGCTCACATGAAAAAGTGGCTTATGTTTTTCGATTGGTTTGTTTTTTACAACAATCTCACCTGGCCTCCTCTCCCTCCAGCAGCTTCCTGTAAGCATTGATCTCCATGTCCAGGGCCAGTTTGATGTCCAGCAGCTCCTGGTACTCCTCGAGCTGCAGTTGGAGTCGACTGCGGATATCAGTCACCTCCCGCTCTTTATCCTCCAGGCGCCGCCGCATCAGGTCCCGCTCCCTTGACATCGCCTCCTCCAGCTCCCGCACCCTGGCCTCGCTCGCTGACAGCTGATTCCGCCAGAAGACACACAGAAAGGTTAGTAAATTACAACTAATTAGGGAGTCAGTGCACTTCTTGTAACAGCACAAACACTGTGGGTCTGCTTGATGAGCCAGGTGAAGCTCAATGGTGCTCAGTCATCCACAAAGCAACGTGGCCAGGAAAGACAGCATCCTCTGTGTGTGTGTGTGTGTGCGCGTGTGCGTGTATGTGTGTGTGTGTGTGTATGTGTGTGTATACCTGTTTCTGCATCATGCTGAGCTGGCCTGACATGCTCTCAATTCGAACCCGGGACTGCTGCACCTCTTCATGACTGGCTCCCAACAAATGGCCGTTCCTGTCAGCAGAGTGACGGGCGTTCTCCAGCTGACACAGGCAGAAAAGGTCAAGTCAGATTGCAGCGGTGGCTTCCTCCCCTGAACAACCGGGCTAAAACTGTGCCGTTTGAAAAACACTTAGAATCGGGTCAACTTTATTTCAAGGGACTGTCATTATTTAAATGAACACTTGACCCTCTGTATATAAATGAACTTGTATCCATTCCACAGTGAATAAAATGAGAAAATGGGGGGGAAATGTGATCAATTGAATTTAATGGAGGCTGCGTTTAACAACAGAAAAACTGCTCACTAAACTCTTAATTCACTTGAGCAATATAATCCAAGTCTCATTGTATGCAGTTGTATGCTATAAAAAAATGTAAAGTTGATTTACAATGGTCATTTTGTGGGTTAAGTATTCCATTCATAAATATTAATCATCTTTGGCTCTGTTGGATACCAAACATCATAATAGCAAAATACTTTTCAGCATCCTGCAATTTTTGCCTGTTAACTGATTTAGAAACATTTACTCACAAAATTAAACAGCAAATTCTAATGAAAAAACTTAAAAGTGTGTCTATCCACCAGACCACATGTGTCAAACTCAAGGCCCGGGGGCCAAATCAGGCCCGTGGTGGATTTAATTTCGGCCCGCAGGATAATTTTTCATTACTATTAGATCTGGCCCGCCGGTATATTGCACCTTCACTCAATCCTGAGGGTCTCCTCAGCTCAGAGCCTGACCCCAAACATTGATGAACTTGCACCCAAGATGAGATGCCAAGTATCTGGCTTGAACTAGCATCACAGCAGCAACCTGAGTTTAAATGGATGTTTCCTTTTGCAATTTTTTTCTTGCGACAACAGGGCATGTTTGTTTTTTTCTTTTGAGGGAAATTGTTTTTTTGAAGCTGTTGTTGGCCTGTGGGAAAATGTAATCATAAGAAATGACTCCGGAAAAGCTGCAGATAGAGCCATAAGAAATGAATGCAACTGATTATTTAATGTTTCATGTTGTTTTTATAGGCAATAATTTAAGCTTTGTTAGTTCCAGGTTTAATATGTGCAATAAGTTCATTTCAATACGTTTTGCAATAAACATTGAACCAGTCCGGCCCTCGACTAGTACCGATTTTTAAATGTTGGCCCACTGTGTATTTGAGTTTGACACCCCTGCACTAGACAGTGATAATGGCTGTTAAATTAATTTCCCATCGGCATGTAGATATAAGGCAACAGAAAAGCTAATTAAGGCATTTGTAAACTGATTGATTGTTAAAAGGGAGTAAATCAATATGCATGATCTGAGCTGTGGATATTACACAATGAGCAGCTCATTAATTTGCAAATTCAAAAAGTCTACACCCAAGGCACCACCACTATAGAGAGTAACAGCCTTTTTCTTTACTCTAGGTGGCGCCAGAGCTGCGTGTAATGCAGCGTCCAGTGAGTCGTACCTTAGAGTTGTAGGTCTTCTCCACCTCCTCCTTGTAGAGGGCGAGCTGCTCCTCGTGCTGGGCTCTCATCTCCATCAGGGCGATGGCCAGCTTGCTCTCAAACTCCTGCTGCCGCCCGCTGACCACCTCCGTCATGTGGGACTTGTAGCGGTGCTCGCTATCACGCCGCTCCTACAGACACAGCAGGATGGAGAGGTCATCAGTCTCAAGAGCACTTGCTATGAAGTGGGATTAACCTTGGTTATGTGACTACTCAAACTTGGACGTTTTATATTGATGTACGGCTCATTTTGCTTAAGGCCATGAAAAATATAAAAGACTACCTGTAGAAACCTGTTATAGTCAATAAACTTAATTGCATTGATAATTCAGTCGCTGTGGAGTAATTATTTGTTTAAAAGTAGGGCACTAAGGCAAGAAATCCACATGCATAACATCCCCTGGGACCTTTAAGCAAGTCCAAGTTATGACTGATTTGGTCAGGACTTGATTGAAACCACAATATTTTTTAAATTATGACCTTGATGATGGCAAGAATTACAATTAATTAAATAAAAAAATCAATTTTAATACTTTACAATGTGTATATATCTTTCTACTTGTACTGTGTTTTATTATGTATGTGAAAATAAACTTGGAATAAAATCAAGGAGAGGTGAGAAACAAAAGGAGACATATCTGAAGGGGAAATGCAAAACAAACATGCAGGAGGTTGGGAAGCAAATCAATATCCTGAGGAAAAGATGAAAAGTAGGACAGAAGACGGCTGAATAAAAATAGAAAGGTTGAGGTGAAGAGTGGGAACCTCGTTGAAGATGTTCTTCTGGAACTCCAGTTCCTCCTTCACGGTCTGCAGGCGGTTCTCGGCGTCCACTCTCCTCAGCATCTCATCCTGAAGCTGCCTCTTGGCATCCGCTAAGCTGCCATCCAACTGGGAGGGAGGGAGGGAAGGAGGGAAGGGGAGAGAGAAATGTTCTTTAATGGGTGCATTTCAAAAAAATCAAACCAAGCCCAGGGTGTGTGATCTGTGCAGCATTGTTTCAGCTATTCTTTGAAGACAACTTGCACTTCCTGATTGTGGCCAGTAGGAGGAGCAGGGCCACAACTGTATCTACGTCAGTCCTTAGGTAAACTTCATTGATAAAACAAACAGCAGGGAAAGTAACCTTGTCCGCCTCGCCACCTTGTCCTCATTCACAATCAACTGCCTGGAGGCTTTACATCAAATGACTACTCCCAGCTGGTATTTCTGCACTCTATCAAATATCAGTCACTGCAGCTTTGCATTGCAAAATCTACTGATTGTTTTTTCAAAAAGGTGCCAAGACAGATTTTAACATTTGTCACGCCTATCCCATTAATGCAGGTTGATTTTTCTATGATCTCAATTTAGAGGGATGTTTATTAGGCATAATGAAATCCAGCGATATGGATTGAGTCAGTAATCAAACATCGTTAATATACATCAGTCAGATACACTTTCATTTTGAAATGCACATGGCTGGTCTGTTTTACTATTTGCATCTAAACTCTAGAAAAGATTTGCACTTAAAGATGAGAAATGTGGCACTTTTTAGTAAACAACGGGGCATTTTTCTTTTCTCTTTTCTTTATAGAAGATTTTTTCTATTTAAAAAAGGTCAGTTGAGGTGATATAAATATGCTAAATGGCCATATGATTTCTTCTAAACTCGATTAGAGGCCCCTGAATTAAATTGAAAGTATGACTTGTGTGGATGCAATAGAGAAGATGCCCTGTGTCAGCTGAAATCCTCCTGATATTAATGTAGATACAAAATAAATAAACCACACATAAATAAACATGCACTTCTCCATGCTTTCTGAACAGGGTTGCCCTTCATTTGACCCTTAAGAGCATGCTCCCTCTGCCAACAACAACCATGCAAGGCTTTTATTCCAATAACGATGTTTGTACCTTGGCCAGCTGGGCCTTGAGGTCCTTCAACTCCGCCTCCAGGGTCCGCTTCTCCCCCAGGGCCGTGGAGAGGGAAGCATCTTTAGAGTTCAGCATGGCCTCCAGGTCCCTCAGCCTGATCAGAGCCGCCTCAAGGTCAGACTCCTTCTTCCCATTCCTGTGGAGACACGAGACAGACAAGATGTCAGTTCTCCATCCCTTCAATACTGCATGTGACATGTCATGTGTGGTGTGAGCTCTTCTTGCTCTCGGCAATACAGCTTGTCTACGTTTTTCCAAGACTCTTTTCTTCGACATAATTTCTCTCTGACTTTGCCGTTGGGCCTCTTTGGAGTCGAGTAGCTCATCTCATGTTGCTTTACATCCCTAGCTGATAACTGTAACTGAGTGGCATTAAACCGAATACCTAAGATGACCTTATTCTAAAGCATGTCCTTTTATTCTTACATCAAAGAGCTTGTTTTTGTAGGATTCTTTACACATGAAGCTGCCTTTGTAGCAATGTGTTTAAGTGTCATAAATGCACAGAAAGGTATTTTCTGGGAGGCTTACATGATCAAATAAATTCTCTTTCCCCAGTTCACGCAAATGTCTTTAGTAACTTTGAGTCATGGTTTCATTTCTATCTTCCAATAGAGTGTCATATGAGCTAAGTCCATCACAATACTAATGATAGAATGTGTTTTCATGTCTGCTCAAAGTGAAACCTAATAAGTGTGCGGCAGTGACAGAGGTTTTGGCAGACAAACTACCATTGTACAGTGCAGTGCGGCAGTTGTCCACTGTGGATGGGAACACATCATCGTACTGTTAATAGCCTGCTGTACTGAATAAGAGATCATTAAACTCTACCTCGAGGGAACCCGCGTTGCGTAAAGAGAATTCCTGTTTGTTGCGCCTGCGCTTTAACATGTGGGCCACGCCTCTCCTCTAACCTCTCTACGGGATCCAATTTAAAGTTCTGGTTAGAATAAATAACTTGGAAACAGCCATGGAAAAAACTATATATTTTCAGGAAAGGAAAAAGAGAGTAGAGGAGAGAGAGAGAGAGAGAGAGAGGTTGTAAGCAGTATAGGTGGCTCATGCACAGCCAAGAAGGAAATGGGCTCCCTCTTATTCTATCTGGCCCTGTAGGCTAGTCTTTATTGACACTAATAACGGCCATCTGCTGGGGAGATGGCTTCCAGGCTGCCCACACAGACCTCAGAGTCCTGCGGTCACTGCCAGCCGTGAGAGAGAGAGCGGCCAGTGTGACAACAAGAGGGAGAGAGAGAGAGCTACAGATACACTGTACAAACACTACTTATAAAGTTACTCCACAGCGCAAACATGATTTACAACAAAAGGGTAAAGTCCATTCACAATTCATCTCAGAAGTGAAACTGTAATTTATCTTTGACTGAATTCAATAAACACCCATAAGGAGAGTTTGAAAAATGCAATTGTGCTTCCTCAAATGGCCGGTACAAAGGGGACGAGATAAAGTGGCTGACTGCTTCAGGGAGAAACAGAAGAAAAAAGGAGTAAGTGGAGAAATATGAATGAGTCTTTTATGTCCTGCAAGAAAAGTCGAATATGAAATCCAGGGAAAACATATCCGTGATGCTTAACAGATGTACAATCAAGCCTAGAGAACTTGAATGGGTAATTACATCAAACCTCCCAGACTGCTCATTGTTCAGATTCAAAGCTTATAAAAAAAAGGAGGCACAGCTCAGTGTTTGAGTTGTACACAAACACATGGATAAACATATGGACAAACATAATAAGCTCTGAGAAACAGACAGAATTCCTGCATTCATTACCTGTATCATAGGGATACAATTCATACCGGTGTTACGGTGAATCTACACATTTGAATAGAAATGGTCTCCACATATTAAAATGTATAAATACAGTCAGTTGCTATAACAACACCAAGTTAAAACAATACATCTGTTTCTATACATATGGTTTCAGAGAGGTAAATGAATTGTGTTGTTATATAGTGAGTTTCTTATATGTAGTTGTAGCATTGTTTTTACACTGTACCTAATAGTGTGGAAACTAAAGAGGATTCGACGACCTTTTCCAGAGCCCTTGACCACATTTAAATGACCAGATGTTCATGCATTCATTTCCTTTATAGCAATGCAACATTTCATATTAATAAACACCTTCACTAGTAGTTGAAAAAAGTTGTTTTTGCTTAAACAGTTTTTAGAGATGTTGATTCAACCCTACTGTCACTTTTGAGGCTCCAGTGTGTGGTGCTGTTTAGTTGTGTTGTATATTGTCATTATTCTGTCAACCCCATTATAGCACTGAGTGTAGGCTTAATAACATAAAACACCTCTTTTTACCAAAAGGAATAAGTACAAACTGAAGACTTGCAGGAATTCTGAGAAGTCGACATGTTTGACTCAAAGAGAGTCAAGAATGTGACTCTTAACGACCCAGGTGGACTAGCACTTGAGAGGATTATGTGTCGAGAAAAAAGACATTCTTGAACACAATGACTGGAGCCTTTTAACAGAGGCGCTCCATGACATGTATTATCATCCATCAGTGTCAAAACGCCTACAAGACGTACAGTCAAATGGTTACTGCTGTAAAAGAAAAATGCTTTAAAGAATACTATAGTTTGGCTCAGGCTTGTAAAATTCTCTAGGTGTTTACATTCCTCAAGACTGCTGCTACTGATGTGTTGTGTTTTTACTTAAATTGGTTGTAAATGCATTAGCGATGGGTAAACAACTATTTATTCTCATTCACTTCTTGAGATAAACATTACAACTCTTTGTTTAGATTTTAATATATTGTTCAATGAAACAGTGTTACTCTGCAGGCAGGCGAGTGTGTGTGGACGTGGCTGCGGCTCATTAGTGCTAATAGGCCCAGTTGATCAGCTCTAGCACTGAATTAATGGAGAGAAGTGGGTTTGGTATATTCCCATCCAGCTTGTTTGTGTTCTCTGTATAAACACACAAACACGGCGTGGCTTGCGCTAAGTAGCTAAAAACCTCACTTACGTTTTTACAATTCATCCTGAGGGGAAGAAGAGGGTTGTTTCCACCCATCCAATAGTTTGAAACACTTCACGTAAAGAGGCCTGCATGGTGTTAACACATGACATTACAGGAGAATTAGAAAAACCTGCTGCAAATTAATATCACAGGACGTAGCTTTGATATTTTCAAAATCTAGCTAGTGTGAGTTTACAATTTACCATCATTTTTTTTTAAAAAAGCAGCCACTATTACATTTCACTCCAAAGCTTGAAATACATGTTCTGATCGTAAAGTGACCCTGTCATCGTAATGGTTTTACTGTCCTGCCAAAATCATCTGTGAACAGCGGATGGAAACGATGCTTAAACATCCGTGGCTTCAGTTCAACGTAAGCAACTAAAAGCCTGTACCATAGACTGTACTTAACATGTTCTCTTTGTTTCTGGCACCTCCAAGTGCTGCTGCTGGATGTCGGAATAAAACAGAGTCTGAAGATAACTGAACGACGGTGGAAAACCTTGTGTCTGTGTTTGTGTTTCTCTTAAGTGCATGTGTGTATGTGGGTGTATTTGTGCATGTTTGAGTCTTTTCTGCACTGTGTGGGAGTGTTGGCTGCAAACACTGTGTAGACCACCATGTGTGTTAAGTGCATTTGTGTACTGTATATGTGTGTGCAGATACAGAAAGAACATGTCCATGTATGTCCCTGCGCATGTTTTATTCTTATATACTATTTACATAACGTGTGAGTTCTTCATGTAGGCGTTTGCTTGGGACTACTTGTTTATATAATTCAGTAAGAAGGGTGTATTAGAGAGCCTAAGCATAAATACACTCAGATTTCATGTTTACATCAGCGCCTCACAGCCTGTACACACGTGTGGAGACACTCTGCAGTTATTTTTTAAGAATCACACTTAATATTTACAAAACAATACACAGTCAGAATGAGGCTAACCAATTGGGTACTGAGAATGGCTGCGAGCCAATAGATGAGCAACCAAACGCAGATTACATTTGTGAAATTAGGTAAATAAAGCCAAAATAAAAACCGCCTGTTTCATCAAGATAAGGGAAATCTGTTGCAGGTAAAACAAAGCTGCAGAGTTGTTTCTAAGCCTGCAAACTGAGAAAGACCTTTGTGCCGAAAGGGCAGAACTGCAGGCTTCTTATTTTGCTCAGCAAGAAGGAATTCAATACAGAAAAGAAGTGTCATTTTGGCTTGCATTGTTCTTATTATTATTATTATTATTATAAGTGCAGACTAGTTGTCTCCTTTCCTCCCACACACAAGAGTCTGCACAATAAAGTACTGAAAAAAAACAAAGGTTCACAGAATAATTCACCTCTTTTTAGCTGCGATATTAGTGCTTTTTAATGCAATTTGTTACCGAGCAAATGGAGTAAATGACATATTTTAAAGCACAAAGACAAAATGGGAGCTATTGGACGGAGACAGTGTGAGATGGGGGAGAGGAGAGGCTGGTGGAGGGGGGAGTGTGAAATGGAAATGCGAGAGAAAAAAGACAAAAAGAGAAAGGGAAAGAGGGGAAATAATAGAGACGAGAAATCTGAGGAGGAGGAGGAGGAGGAGGAGGAGGAGGAGGAGGAGGAGGAGGAGGAGGAGGAATGTGTTGGCTCCGCTCCCAGCCTCAAGGATGACTCACAGCTATCTTTGTCCGGCCCAGTAAGGAGAAACGAACCTCGCCTCGTGGAGTGAAATAGAGAAAAAAAAGAAAGCCCGCTAACCCCCCTTGTTTTGCGATGCCGTTACCGTGGCAACCAATGCCTCGTTACCAGGCCTGCTAGTATGCAATTTACAACCAAGCTGTGGACGCAATGGAATAAATAAAGTGTCTACTTTTTTGTGCTGATTTTCTAAATACCTCAAGACTGTGTGTGCTTGTTGTAGCCGTCTGAAACTATAGGTCGTACTTTCCTACAAAGAGATATGACCACAGTTATTACTGAAGCCACACAGCCAAACGCAGGAGTTTATGAGACCTCAGCAACACTGATGCCAAGGAGTTCATCAGCATTGAATACCTCAATTTGAAACCTAACGAATACAAAACTAAATGTAAAAGGAAAAAAGCATCACATTTTTCCATGTATACTTTTTAAGATTTAGCAAAAGCACTGTTTATGTTGTATGTAATACTCTGGG